CTGCTGTCCATGATCTCCCTCTTCTTCTCTGCTCTAGATTCCGCCCCCCACCATCAGCCAGCACCTCTGCTGGTCTTGGTTGTCCGCCTGGTGGCATTATCCAGATTCTAACCTCTCAGGAGCCTGACCCTCTGGTTACCATGCCTTTCTCAGGCCAGGGCAGAACCCCCACCTGGATGGTGACCCTTCTTGTCTCCTAGTCACTTGACATGATGAGCCCAATATGCCGTAGTCATCGGGGCTCTTGCTGTGTCACCTGGTGGAAGTGTTCAGCCTATGGGAAGCTGGAACTGGAAAGCTACAGAGCCCAAGGTTTCAGGCTCTGTAATCACAGGCTCTCCAAGTGGGTCACCAGGAGTGATGGAAAATAGGGCCATTCCGGCTTCCACCCATGTTTCCCAGACTCATGCATTCTACCTACCGGGGATACAGCCCTGTAGGGAGGCCTTCGATTTAGAGTGTCCACTGCATTCTAGAGGGGGACACCCCATCCTTGGAGCGTATTGACCACAGGATGACCCCAGGTTACTCCCTCATTCTGTCATGTCATCAGCTTCTGAGAGTGGGGTAAGTGATGCAACCACTGGGTCCTGTCTGTAGTCTTATGCCCATTCCCACACCCTCTTGGCCACAAAGGACATCCCTTGGTCAGACACAACACTAATGGAGGTGCCTGTGGTATTCTCCCCAAGCCAGACTTTCCTACACACATCTGTCTTCAAAACTATAACAAAAGTACCGCAGGCTCAGAGTGTCACCTCCATTTAAAAAAATTTTTAAAGCTAATCCTGGAAGCAGAAGCCCTCTTAAAGGTAGTTAACCCAGATTCCCAGCTCTCCCAGGCCCACTGTGTCAGGATCTGAAAATGTGGCGAAGGTGGCAGTTTCATCAGTGACCTGCCAATGACCTGACCAGGAGGGTCCCTCCAGCAGGGGAGCCATTCACTGGAGTCTCACAGGCCCGCAGACCCTCGGCCTCCTCGCCGCGTCCATAATGCACTTTAGATGCAATGCCTGACAGGCCCAAGATAAAGAGGGAAGACAATTGAATCAACGTGCACTTTGGGTTTCAAAACATATCTGATTTGCCTGCCTGTGGATATGGATAGACTTCATTTCCAATGCCGTGTTGCAAAGTGCCCCTGTGTCTGCACACGGGGCCTTCCCAGAAAGGACGCCTGATTCTTTTCTGACCACCGGCTATGTATGAGACATCGATACATTTTACCATTCTACAAACATGTATTATGCACCTACCATTGCTGGCTGCACTGCCAAGGTGTGTGCATCAACATCGTAGCTTTCCCAGCACGTCCTTCTGTTCACGTCTACATCGGTATGCGTGTCGTCATAGGACACGTTGCTACTTGGGTGAAAGCCACACTGTGTGCTTACACTGGGGTTAGGTTGTAAAGCTAACAACTGAATCAAAAATCGTTCCTAAAAAAAGCCCTTAAATGTAAATATGAAGTCAGTAAATGGCTGTATCATGTCTCAATAATCCAGCTCAGCCAAGTCTTCCCCAGTGTGGCGGAGCTTGTGTTTAGGGACCAGAATGTGTGAAAAAGATGTAGCTTGAGTCCTAGTGGCACACCCAGGCCAGTGGGATGGCTGCACCGCTGGAGGCCACCGGCCTGAAGCAGGCTGACCTTCATCTCACTCAAGGTCAGGAGCGCTCATAAGGGGACAGTATTATTCAGGCAGCTTAAAGTGTCAAATCTCCCCTCCCCTCCCTTTATCTTCCCTTCAACCATCCCCTCCTCCTCCTTCTGCTCCTCTTCCTCTATCTCCCTCTCTCTGTCTCTCATTGTCTCTCTGTTTCTCTCTCTCTCTCTGTCTCTCATTCTCTCTCTCTCTCTCTCTCTCTCTCTCTCTCTCTCTCTGTCTCTCTCTCTCTCTCTCTCTCTCTCTCTCTCTCTCTCTCTCTCTCCCCCTTCCTTTCTCACCCCCACTTGTAATTCATTAAAATACACAATTAACTAAATCTAAGTATGAGAATACACTTCCTGGTTTTCCTGGGACTGTCCAAGTTTTAAAATAAAGTTCAGGCAACCAGGACAGTTGGCCACCGTAGTACCATTTATCAGCTTGGTGATCTTGGGTAATTCTTAACCTCTGGGAGTCTCACTTTTCCTTTCTGTGAAATAGAGCTAAGAAGACCAAGCAGAGTTGCTACTGGACTGTCCACACCCTAGCACGTGCAGAGGCCAAAGCACAGTGTCTGGTTCCCAGTCCGTGTGTTTAAACGGAAGCGCCTCAGGTCCCTTGCAAGGAGATTGGCAGGAGATTCTAGGCAGGAGAGTGACTTCAAGCTGGAAAACACTCTTGGAAACAATTAAGGCCACTTGTGTTGTCCATCTCTCTGAATGCAGTAGAATAAACAGAAGTATTTTAATGTCTCAAATACTTTGCATTCACATAGTGTATCTTTAAAATTTGTGCGACCACCTGTTATATTTCCTCATATTTAAAAAAAAAATTAACTTCCTCAGTCTTTACGTTGTCTATTTTTAAAGGGTTTAATCACTTATTTTTTTCTTTCCTCCAGTCCTTCCTATTTTTAGCCTTTAACATTTTTGCTTCCTCCTTAATGTCAGAGTTTTTCTACTCCATTTTATAAAAAATCTTATGTCCCTGTTCCCTTATTCTTTTCATTCTGTTTTTCAGAATTCTCTCTGCTTGTTATCTTCTGAGAAGTATGCATTTTCTTCTCATTTCTTTGTCATCTCAGGATGTCATTCATTGAACACAGATCTTTTTTTTTTTTTTTCTGTAGGCTTTTCATCATTCAGTTTGACTTGTGGTATGCCAGCTGAGTTCAGCGTGCCTGCATCCTTTTTTAACTTTTTTCTTAGATTTTTCACTTACATTTACTGCTTTATTGCTGTCATTTTTTAAGCCCCATTACGTACTATTTATAATTTCTTTTTCTAATTCGGTGTGTACTATTTATACAGGGCAGGCAGGAAACATGGTCACAGGGCCGACAGCTGTGGGGGGAGCCCACGGCCCTGGCAGAGGATGTTGGAGGCACTGTGTGTTCCTCCAGTTGGCTTGACTAGTCCGATGGGTCCTCTTATCCACCCTCATCCCACTCCTGACTGAATCCTTAAAGAGCGAGTTGAACCCGGGCGATAACTACTCCTCATGCCACGTCACAAGAGATCTTCCTCAAACACAAACCTGACTGTGCTGCTTACCTACTCATAGACACTCAGTGAGTCACGATTGTGACATAAGAGACAAGAAAAGCAATAATCATACAGAATCAAGCAATGATTATATTACAGGCTTTTTGCTAATTGCTTTCATTAATTATCCAACAACGTTTTTGGAAAATAGTCCTCTTTTACAAGGACTGAGGGGGGAGGGGGGCGGGAGAATCTGAGGGACAGAGAAGTAACTAGGCCAAGTTCACATAATAAGTAAATGGCCTTATTGGGAGCCCAGAGCCTTAACCACTGGAATAGGCTGCTAAGTTCTACATAGCACAGCAAACCAAACGATAGTAAAACCTTGGCTTGCGAGTAACATGTGTTTGCAAGTGTTCTGCAAGATGAGCAAACATTTCTAATACATTTTTAATGTAGTAAACGAGCGATGTCTTGCAATACGAGTAGTTTGTTTCTGGGACAAATTATGCTCGCAAGCCAAGGTATTACTGTATTAGGATCTACCCCCTGAGTGAGGGGAATGGCTTGCCTCGGTCACCCTGAAGGTAAATGGTAGAGATGGGATTTAAGGCCCATTCTGTCTGATTCCCGGAGTTGGCGCCTTAATCCCCTCTCCACTGTCTTCCCTGCATAGTAAATAATGGACAGAAACATTCTTTGTAAAGTAGCATAACTACAGAATATTTTACTACTTTATAATCCTCTGGGATATTTCTTAGCCTAGAGGAAGAACATCTGTAATGCATCATTTATTCAGAAATAAAAAATATGTATCACACCATAGACGAGAATTTAGAGAAAAGATGGTCTTATATTTAAATATATATCCAGCATTTGTCAAATATCTGTTATCTGCTAGGCACGTTCATAAAGGTTTATTCCACTTTTCAGATGAAAACGTTGAGGCTCCAAAAGGCAGAAAGTGACTTGCCTAAGGCCAGATGCCTAGTAACCCAGGGCTCTGCTTACAGATACTCCAGCACCCAGCAGGTGCAGAGGTCTTTGGGGGGTGGCTGCCCCACTCCCTTTGTCAGGGCCCCCGCAGGACGTGAGCGCCCCCTGGGAGCGGTGGAGAGTATCACAACCTCCCTGTATGATTTTCCTCCGCCTCCCCCATGTCCATGCTTCCCTCCTTCTCCAGCCCTGCCCTCTGCCCAGTGTGCAGCCATTAATGCTCAAGTGTGGACCTCTTGAGGACAGGCCTTAGTCCAGAAGCAGAGAGGCCTAAACACGGCACCTTGCTCCCATGGCGAGAATAGCTTGTGGAAACACACCACAGGCTTTGGGATTGAGTCCAGTCAGGAGGTTCTGGTGCCTAAGAGCTGGGCGATGGCAATGCAGAGAGAAAGAAATAGACAAACATGATAGCCGTTCTTGAGTTAGGAGCGTCAGGACTTGGATGCTACCCATCAGGGCCTGACAGAGCCAAGGTCCAATACAATAATGCCATTCAATGAATGCCTCTCCTGTTTCTTATTAGTCTCTTTCCCTTCTCACCTGATTCCTCGACCCTTTAAAAAGGCAGGGAAGGGGAGAGGTGAGGTGGTGTGGGGAAGAGAGAAGCGCCCTGTTTCCAATGCAGGTTCAGATACACACTTGCAGAGGGAGAAGCTTGAAATGGGATGGAGTGGCCAAGGGAGATGTCTCTGAGGGGATGGCGTGTGACCCAAGACCTGAGTGATTCTGTTTCCCTGCCACTAAACGTGTGGATTATTACTACCTTCAGATAGGTGTGTCTTGGAAATTTTGATTGATTTTTTTCCTCCTTGCCTCCAAACAGCTGTTCTCTTAACCACCTGACCAGGCTACATTTGCAATTCTGTTTTAGGTGGTGGCCCAGGCAGTATTATTCATGTGTATGAACACAGCTGGGATCTTCATCAGTTACCTGTCAGACCGGGCCCAGCGCCAAGCCTTCCTGGAGACGCGGAGGTGTGTGGAGGCCAGGCTGCGCCTGGAGACAGAAAACCAAAGACAGGTACCAATTAGAAAGGCCGTGTGTCCAGGTTACCTGCTAGCCAGTCTCTGAATAGCATGCAGCTTTTTTTCCTCCCCAAACACGTCCTGACTCGCAAGCAATTTCTCAAGGTTTATATCATGGGATTTCAGACTCTAAAATCATCATGTGAGACTTACAGGTCAAAGTGGGGTGGTCTTCTCCACACTTCGTTAATTGTTTGCCCACAAGACATAAAATGATTCTAGTCACAAAGTAATTTTCAGACCCCTTTGACTGACATCTATGTTTGCAAATAAGGCCATGGTTCCTAAACACCATTAAAATTCTCATCTTTGACCCTCTTCTGACACTGTAATTATAATTTCAAAGAAAAATTTTCACTACATAGCAATTCAAATTATATTGGGTTGTTGAAAAAATCATGACTCATTTTTGAAACGAAAAAAGTAGAAAAACACATCATGACTTTTCTGATATCTTGTACATGTGTGGTTCCCAGGACCTCATCCTGATTTCCAGAAGACAGGATGGAACACAGTACATTTGATGGAACATGAGAGGGTCTCAGGGCAGGGGATGCTGTAAGGAACATGGGTTGGCTCAGGGTCGGAGTCAGGGGTTCCAGTTTGAAGAGGTTAAAATAAAGGAGTTTCTTGTGCATCCTAATTGGGTAGGTGTTATAGGGATTTTAAAAATTGCTTTGGCCTCAAATTACATGTTTCCCCAGAATACAATTAGCTCTCAAAGAATAAAGATTTGCCCCTATTAAAATTATTCATCTATTAAAAGTGTATGAGCATGCTTTTGCCTCTGAAAGCAATTTTCAAAGAGGAATAACAGGAATGTCTTGAACATTGGCTATCAAATCAATAGATTTCATGTTCAACATGTTTATGTACTCTTGGGAATTCTATGTTCAATGGATATATTTGTTCTACCATACTAGGCTCTTTTTAAAAGTATGTCTATGGATACACACTTGTTATTTTAAACTGTATGTAAGAATGGTTTGAGAAATTATAAAGAAAGTAGCTACAAAATAATGCAACATTTTCTTCATCTTAATGTGATCAAATCATCAGTAAAACATGGATCTTTGAAGTGAACGAAGCCAGGTCTGTGTGATAATGGATGAGGCGGGCAGGCAGCATACGACTTGCCAAAACTCGACTCCCACTGCCATATGTCATTGCCAGGGGCACAGAGGACACTATTGAATTTCCAGATCCTACGTGGATTTCACAGGATTCCAAATTAGGACATTTCTAAGTTAATGTCTAAAACAATTATGGAACCTCGTAACAGATTCATTGTAGTTGCCCTGAAAAACCCTATAAAATAATTTAGAGAAATAACTTTAAGAAAGAAATTACCTTGTACAATAAACATTGTACATCTCCTGGGACTATGTACTGTGTGCCTCTGCAAAGCAGAGCAGTTGCCAGACTGGCATGTCACTCTTTCCATGGGATGGATGACAGTTCAGAGAATGCAGCCACATTAATAATTTATTCAACTGTTCTTAATGCTCTGTCGCAACTCGAGCTGCAATTGTGGGTGAGTTGTCTGGGAAACTCAGTCTTTTATTAAATGTTTGTGGAATATTGGTGACACTGAAAGTTATCGCCTTATTTTACCCATAAGACTTTTCTTCTTTTCCCATCCTTCAAGTTGAGTGTCTTGAAGTAATATAGTAATCTAACATGGTAAAAGGACCTTCCTCTATCCTCTCTAATCTTGACTTTTACTTTTAAGTTGGTGGAAAGAGAAAGAAAATAATAATATACAGAAGTGAGAATAAACAACAAGTAGAATGCAGTGAAAAGTGCACTAGCACTCATGCCACAGCGATCTGGCCTCCTAGTTGGGCCGCCAAAGAAAGCACTGAACTGCCAGCCCTAGATTCCCCACCCATACATAGGGCAATGTGTTTGCCGCCAATGAGAAAATGCGTGTAAAGCAACACAAAATTATGACAGCCTCATTATAGGAAAAGATTGTCTTTTGGTCGCAGATTCCTTGTTCTGAGGACTCAGTAAACGATGCTGTAGGTTTGTTACAGTCCTGTGTCCACAATGATGATAAAGTATTTCTGGTATCTGGACCACCCCTCTTCTCTCAGCGGTAGCGCTAAGATAGCTGGCTCTGTATTATTCAATGCTGAAGTGACTTTCCACTGACACTTGATCTCTGCTGCAGGTTCCCATAATCCCTGAGAAATTCCTCAGTGGAGATGGGCAGAGAGACTGCCCACGACTTGGAATCTTTGCTTAGGTACTTACCATCTTGGTGAGCCTGAGCAAGCTCTGAGTCTTCGTTTCTCCATCTGTACCATTGGGATAATAATACCCTTCCTCAAGAGGTTCCTTAATGGTTTGAAATACTGTGTGTAGTACCCTGGAAAGCTCGGGCGAAGAGTTTCTGTAAGCATGATTGTACATCATGATGTTTATGAGTCGGCCAACCTAGCCCACTCCCAGGAGGACTCATTTGAGAACACATTATGGATTGGCTTGTCACAGCCGAAACCCCAACGGCAAGTCATTCATGTGGAAGGAAATCAGGATGTAGAGCTCAGGTGTACATCCATCAGAGCTCCGCATTAGGCTCCATATCTTTTAAGAGTATCGTGTCATTAACCAATCCTTCCCCACTAACCTCTTATCAGAGCTAATTATAATACCATAACTGTTAGAAATTCTATACTGTGTGAAGGGGTGACACCATTAAGGGCCTAAGTGACAGCAGATCCTTTTTCCTTGGGAAATGATCCCAGAGGAGACTAAATGGCATTTCTTTTACACTCATAAATGCAAAATCGATAGGCCTTGTTCCATAAGAATATTCAAGTTTTCTTTTAGGATTTTTGAAGCATTGGCATTAGCTCTTGTTAGGATACAAAAGAATATTTAAATGACTTAATTTGTTCAACCATGCATTAATTTATTTATTGAGGACATTGGGAATATAATGGCCCCTAGCAACTGGTTCCTTGTCTTACAGAGCTTACAGGTGGACAAAGAGATGGAAGGCTATGCAGATACCTGTGGCAATATTGTATGGGTCACACCTAAGATGGAGGTGGATGGAAGGCTACCTGAAAGAAACAATGCCTGAGTTGAGATGTGAAGAGGATATTCACATATCCTATCGTGAGAAGCAGGAAGGGTGCCACGTAAAAGTCAAACAACACGTACAAACATCCTGAAGGAAGGGAGAACGTAGTTTGTTGGGTCAATTATGAGCACTCCGATAACTCCCATGATTCATTTATTTATCATCCATCCATCCATCCATCCATCCATCCATCCATGGTACAGTTACAGAGATAAGTTAAGACTCAGTTTCTACTCTGGAATTGAGCCTGGGGGATGAGTAGAACTTTAATTATTAGAAGAGAGGGAAGAAAAATCAGCAAAGATACTGAGGTTAAGATACATATGATGTGACGAAGCAACCCTGGGAGGTTGGCTTGCTCTGCTGCCCTGTAGCCAAGTTGTGCACTTTCTTCAAAGGCATACCACTGCACTTGCCCATTTAATGAAAAATCTGTAGTTGTTGAGTATTCCCTATGCACCAGGCATTGTTCAATGTGCTATGTAGACTGAAATGAAGAAAACCTATTCCACATCCCTATTACAGCGTGCCACACTGATCTCAGTCACTGCACGCCTGTTTGTTGGGGTGAACTGGGAGCCTCTTAAGAGGGACCCGTAGCTCATTCCTCTATGTACTACCCAGCAGTGCCTGAAAACCAGTGTTGGATATATGGTTATGAAAAGACTGAGATTGTCAATATTAATAGTGGTCACTAATTGTTTTTCCAAAGAAAAATTGCCAAGCTGTAGCTAGAGTATAGGTGACACATGAGCTATGCTGCCTCTTACTTGATGATGAGATGCTTGAGGTCCTGGGTAACAGGCTTCTTCCTTAGATAACCCGAGGCTGTGTGCATGGTTCCTAAGGCCAGGAGCGACCAGCACATGTTAAAACCCTTTGCTCAATGTGTCTTCTAAATTAGGTTGTTTTTTTGTTTTGTTTTGTTTTTTAAGATTTTTATTGGGGAATTGTGGGGGATGGGAACAGTGCTGGGGAATTGGGGGAAGAGGAACAGACAAGTTGCTGTCGTTTTGTTCTTCAGTCTAGTTGTGGAGGACGTTGCTTCACTGGCCCAAGTTGGCACCATCATTGCGCTCTTCCCGGGTGAGGCAGATCAGTTGCCGGCTTCTGGACGGCCTCTCACTGCGGCTGCTGGCTGCTGGCTACATACAGTAGCCCATGGCAACCCACTGCCACAGGGGCTGCAGCCTACGCTGTCGCCAGCGACTCATGGCAGCCCAGCTCCAGGTTGAGCTGTTGTTCAGCATCTTAGCTGTAGAGGGCAGTGTCACTGGCCCTCATATGTGGGATCCGAACCGGGGCCCTCTGGCGTCCCAAGCCAGTTCTTAACCATCGCGCCACTTGGCTGGCCCTAAATTAGGTTTTTAACAAAGCTCCTTGATGATGGCTTTGTACTTTCCATCTCTTTCCCCTCCCACAGAAGATGTCAGAAACCACAGAATGGTCCAAAATGTTGACACTTTCAATTTAGATGATTGGCTTCGAGAAGTTGAGCACATATCAGCCCTTTCCTTCAGAGAGGCAAGGACTTTGTTCTTTTTTTTTTTTTAAACAATTTAATCACCAATTATAACTAGTACAGAACACATGAAACACCTCCTATGTGGTGTCTCGGTCCCCAGCTTCTCTTCCTCCAAACTTGTCTCCATTCCCAAAGCCTGGTCTGCTTCAGAACATGGTAAGGGTTAAAAACAAAACTTTCCATGTCTGGAAGAGCTGGATTCCAGTCCTACTCCCTGCGCTTCCTGGCCATGGGAACTTCGGCAAACTATTCCCATAGAGACGTTGCTTTTGTGGGTGTACAATCAGCATAATGATTATACCTTCCTCCAAGTGGTGAGGATTAAGGATGAAGGATGGACAGTGCTTAGCCCAAGGCAGGGGATGTGCACCAGGCA